TTTGCTGCATATCTCTGATATGTACAAAACTTAGAGAGCGGATAAGTAAGGGAGGGATTGGCTCCTCGAGAGAGAGAGAGAGAGAGAGAGAGAGAGAGAGAGAGAGAGAGAGAGAGGTGGGGAAGGGAGATTGGGTTGAGGGGGGGGGGATAATCATTGTCTATGTTTATTTATGAATTGGTCTGCGGTGTTGTTGTTGTTTTTAAGTTTGACGTATGTGATTCGTAAGATTTCATACGTCATTTGGTCGCATTTAAGGACAAGCGGGCTAACCCAGATTTCGGTGGTTTCAAGAAATCTTGACCTTCACCAACTATGGGTATTGCCCTACCTATAGATCAAGGAGAAGTTTAGTTTTATTGATGTGTATATTGGTTTGTTATAGAAAAATCTTATTGTTGTTCTCTTGTATAGTGTTTTACGGCGCTCGCAACTGCATAAGGTCATATGATCGCGCGAGATACACCTAATATTTTCAGTGGGTAGGAAATTTTGAATTTTGCCCGGATGGCGGCCGAAGCCTACTCTTATCGATTTTAGACCACCAAGGGATCTTTAACGTGCGCAACTTGCACACGGGCCCTCTGAGATTTTTCGCCCTTTTCCGAGAAGGCTAGGTGTAGATCTTTCCTACCAGAAGATCAGGGGTGTGGCAGAAAGACAGCAGTGAGAAGAAACCAAGGAGTAGCAGTAGAAAGGCTGCAGAAAGAGTCAGGAGCCCAGAGGAGGGGGCAAAGGAGGTGAGGGGGTGGGGGCAGAAAGTGGAAATGAAAGCAGACAACAGAACATTGCTAGAGAGCAGGAAAGGAGGTGAAAGGAGACAATTTTAGAGAAGAAAATTTTGTGGTCGCTACCCGGATTCGAACCCGGGACCTTTGAATGAGAGGCCAACACCTTAACCTCTAGGCCACGAGAGCCCCCAAAAAGTTATTGTCTTTTAAAGAAACTGAACAAGGGGCAAAAACTTTATCTTCGATTTTCTCAAACAGCATTTTTCGGGATAGCCCCCTTGTACTTAAAAGTGACCATTTAAGACATGTGCCCCCAACCTCTTTGAGTTTGGAGATCAGCATAGAATATTAACGTATTAGCAAGGGAGATTACGAGTAAAGGAAACTACATCGACACTATAACGACCTTATAGTGCAGGGAAGAAACTAGAGTTTCGTAAGATTTGTTCCGCACTTGCAACACAATACGGTCATATAAGTGCCCAAGATTACAGGTGTCACAAGAGAGTAAAAAACCCCCCACAGAAACGAAGGAGAGATAAGGACGATATAGGTTTGATAAGTAAGGAGGAGCGAATCGCACAAAAGCCTCCCCCAACCACCCTCTATCCACCCACAAAGTAAGACAGATAAGACAGAAATAAGAAAGGGAAAGAAAAGAAGTAGGACCTACCAATGGCCCCCTCCAACCACCTGCCAATGTATTAACTTCCAATAACAACATCGAACAATACGGATCATATGCAGCGTACGCATTTCTCAGAGTGTGCCGATTCCCGTTTTGGTATAGTTGGGCCATTGAAGGGTAATCCTGGGTTTGTACGGATATATCGTTTAAGATCCTTTTGTGTTTGAAGTTTTATTTCAAGACGTAAAAGATAACTAGAAATTGGATATGATAGACATAAATATAGACATAGATACTCAAAGACGCATACCTACCACCCCCCCCAAAAAAAAAACCCAACAACAACACACACACACTTTTCCGATCATTATCCCCACCCCCACCCCTCTTCTCGAACACACACACACACACACACACACACACACACACACACGCATAAACACACACACACACACACGCATACACACACACACACACACACACACACACACACACACACACACACACACCTTGAAGGACCTTGGACACGCCCACGTCTTTTTTTAAGGCAATTTCTGCTTCCTCGACTTCTGTGGAAATCCCCCCCCCCCCTCCTTTTCATCCCCCAATCCCAAACCAAAGTGGATGTTATGTTGGAAAGGGGGTGAGGTGGTAAATATCTCATGGAGCAATTTGTTGCGAGCACCAGCTTTTTTCTGTACTTGCTGTAGAAAGCCACACTTGAACCGTTTGGCCCAATTCATTCCCCTACCTTACTAAGCGTTTCTGTGCAGCAGGGTGTCATTCTTTTTCTTTTTTTAAAATGAGACATCGGCTCTGTGTACTTTTCGGATTTGCAATATCGGACAGTCTGCAGACTCCTTGTGGTTTTTGTTTTGTGTGTTGTTATTGTTGTTTTGTTTTGTTTTGTTTTAGTGTAGTTGTTTTTTTTTGGTGTGTGTGTGTGGGGGGGGGGGGGGGGG